TGATGACAGAAATATTATAAGCATTGAGCTCTCAATGCTACAATTACTACATGAATTTCTATTATGAGTAATCTCATCTCATATACTAATAATTATTTACGATAAATAACACAATATTATACTTAAAACTTTCGCGTTGCATATGGAAAGTAAATCACCTTTATCGGCGGAGTACTATCGCCGAACAGCCTGCTTGTGACCAGAAAAAATGTGTCACACTGCCGAAACGTCATGCAATAAAAAAATTAAAAGGTACGTGCGCGTTAAATCCCGTAAAAGAAAGAAAGAAAGAAAGAAAAAACTTCGTTTAGACTCGCACAGGATATGAACAATAAAAAATAAAAATAACTACTTAATCAAACTTACAATATTTTCACTTACAACAAAACAAAAACAGAAAACTAAAATTAACACAAGTGCTCTGTGCGAGGCCAAAAAGGCTCCTACCTCAGCATATGCTACAATATGACACAAATGTTAAAAAAACGTCGGTAAAAACGCAGCTTTGTACCCGCTGATCCAGTGGTGAAGAGCCAAGTGTAGGGTGCGGCCGCGGCGCGCGGGTATTTTGCGGCTATTTCAATTATACGCCTTATGAAATAGCGGGCGCACGGTGTCGCTTTCGCCTCTGCTCGCAATATCACCGATGCTATCGCCGATCGGAATTTTTGTTTGAAATCATCCTGTTATGAGCGAAGCGGGAAATATTAAATTATAGTATCGAAGGTACTCAGTAAATGCCTCGACTCTTCAATTTCCGTTTCCATAGTTTATATGTTTCATTAAAGGCTGATTTTACAATGGTTAGATAAAAGTTACCTGCGGAATAATTATGATGCTGTCTCGTCAGAATGTTTGTATAAGACAGTGACAGCAACAATTTTATTCCGCAGATAACAATTATCTGCTAATGAAAAATCCCCACTAATTGTGTAATTTTCGTTTACTGATCCGGTAAATATACATATATATGTAACTTTAAAAGGACAAGTAACAAAAAAATTTGTACAGCTGATTCAATCGTGTTGTGTTTTGCTACATAGAAAAAATAATAAGTAGTTTTCAATGCCATTACTAATTATTAGAATTTATACTGGTATATTATATACAGATTTACGGATATTTAGTTCACATACAGATTCTCTGTTTGTTGTGTTACTTTTGTTTTCTCTAAGAACACAAAGCTAAAAAATAAAAAATATGTACTTTCCGTACTATAGCAGCATGTAGTTCTTAGCAACCTTTTTTGTGAGAGGAAAATCATCAAATGACTGTCTCCAGCCCAGGGTGGGGTTGGATACAGTGTTAAAAATTTTAGATTTATTGAAGCCTTAATTAAATGCTTGACATACATCTCGCACATTTCAACTACATATACTCTCGACATGATTATCACTAAGAATGTACACGGTAACTACAAAGTCTTTGATGCACAATGAAATTTTTAGTACGACATCTTAAATCCGCTATCGCTCCGCTCATCAGCATAGCAGCGACCAATGGCACCTCACGCGCCCGATCCTACGAGGAATGAGAGATATAGCGACGCCAAAGCTTTTAAATTCAGTCCAGGGACACGCGGCGCGGAGCCGGCGGAAGGGCGGGATCGTAAATGAGAATTTTTCATTTCTTATTGGTATTTCTTTTGAAAATTATAGCCCCCATTGATTGGGAATTATTAGCGATGAAAGCTGAAAATTTTACTAAATAAAAAATTCTACGAATCGTTTAAAAAAGTGCCCACTTTGTGTTAATATTCTTTTTCAGCGAAATTTCTTTTTGTTTACTTTACCTGTCTTAATACTCAGTGACTCTTTGGGACTAGGCTAGAGAAACCTCAGTCCGGTCAAAGAATCAGGCAGAACTAGATTTTTTTTATGTGATAGGTCGGCAAATTACCGAAAGGATTGCCTGATGGTATGCAATCAGCGCCGCCCAAGGACACCAGCAACAATGGAGGCGAGTACACTGCTGACCTTTTGGAAATTTAAGGATTAGGGGAGAGGAAGGATTGGGCCTCCAGAAACCTCACTCACCTCACACATATTCGTGCCGAAGCATGACTTTCCAACACTTACTTTTTTAACTTTTGACATTCTTCATTCATTATCATTATCATGAAGAAATGCCTAATTTCAAGCAAATTCAAGCATTACCTAGAAATTATTAAACTAACTGCACCACACCAATTTACGACATTCCCATTACGTACTAAATACCAAGACTCAGTTAGATAGACTTGCCACGACTACTGTCATATACAGGGTGTACAAAATATGTACGTATAATATACAGGGTGTTGCGAACAGCCGCCGGTAGCAATCTATCCTTAAGATTAAGGCGGGAAGGCCAGCTCTGATCTTGTTAACCTACCCCATTAAAATTAACATCCCCATCTGTAGATTACAACCCTTAGCTTAGATGGACTACCTTCTTGTTTTAAGTACGCCAAGGTGGATGGTTAACCTTCATGTTTGGTACATACATAGAAATAACCAAATGTAGATTAATAATTGTCAGAAATGATATCGTTATGCCCAGCTTATAGCTCAGTTGGCGGCACATTCAGAATCATCATCATCAGCCTATAACTGCCCACTGCTGAGCAAAGGCCTTTTCACACACGGAGAAGGTTTGAGCATTAATCACCACGCTTGCTCAATGCGGGTTGGCGATTTCAAACTTATAATTAGAAATTATAAGTCCAGGTTTTCTCGTGTCATGTTTACCTTCACCGTATGTCAGTGGTGTCTAAATAATCATAGAAAGTACATATATATAACTCGGAAAAAGTAACATTGGTACTTGCCAAACCACACTTACATGCGTGAGAAGGGGGCTCCTTAACCTCTGGGCCACCACCACTGACATTCGGATTGGACATGTCTTAGGTATATGGACATATTTCATTTCATTAATTGCTTGACAAGTGATTTATTTATGAAATAGAAAGCAAACAATAGGATATCACCGATGCACTTTATGTATATAATGGTTTGTAAATGTCTGCAAGCTCAGTTCCATAGTTATGAGCCATGCCATTTTAGTGCGGCTACCACTAGCTAGTCAATCCTTTATCATCATTAATTGTGCCATAAGACGTCCGTCGTATAAAAATAAGTATACCTAGGCCTCCCATAATCCCATCCCATCGATTGCACGGTTGACGCAGTCCGTCAGAATATGTCGCGGGTTCCATTCCTCTCTTAACTCTTTATATGTCTGGATGTAAAGTGTATGTGAATTTGTATGTATGTAAACGCATCTATGACAGGAGAATATCCTCAACATTTTTAGTTATATCGATAAAACAATTTTTATTACTTTTCAGGTTCAGCTTCTTACCAGCCGCATCCTGCTGTTTCTGCGAACTTGTTGATTAGTATGTACCGGTTTCTACCACCGATTCAGCCCGCTATGCAGGAAAAATACTATATAGGTACTGTATTACAGAATAAAATTTATCTCTGAACCTAATTTCAATCAAATCCATTCAGTTAGTTTCACGTGAAAGAGTAACAAACACACGTTAATTATTTCAAACTTTTGCGTTTATAGTATACTAGTGGCCCGCCCCCGCTTCGCACGCGTCTAATATTTTCTTAGATAAGAACCTTCTCCTGACAATAACAAACACAACAAAAAAAGAATTAGCAAAATTGGTCCAGGCGTTGTTGAGTTATGCGCTTACCAACACATTTTGCGATCCATTTTTATATATAAGAAGTAGGATTAGAACCTTTTTTTAATTATAAGCATGACCAACATAAGAATATACGTACGGGTTGAAACTTCAAATAATTGTCAATTAAGACATCAATCAACAAAACTTTTGAAAGTATAAAAACTTGTGTTTATTTTTTATTGTTTTACATTTTAGGGTTTGTAAAAAATCAGGTATATCAGTTTTAACTAAAGTATTTGTAAATTAGTTAGGTTTATAGCCACATCATCAGTCTATAAGTACTCACTGCTGAGCAATGCTTCTTCTCACACGGAGAAGGTTTAAGCATTAATCATCACCTCAGAATACAGACGATTTTAAACTCTTATGATTTGTAATCCCATGCTTCCTCACGATGTTTTCCTTCACCTGTTTATCAGCAGTGCCTAATTAGAAAGTACATGTACCTAACTTAAAGTCACAATGGTAGTTCTTATCTACGAGAAGCAGAAGTGACCTTGACTTGATGAAAAAAATAGTGCATAAATTCTAAAAGACTTTTTGTTAATTTTCATCAGATGATCCCATTATTTCGATGACCACGTGAGTGTAGTTACCGGAGGCCCAATCCGTCCCCTCTTCCCATCCCTCCCCAATTCTTGAATCCCCAAATCCTCTTATCCCTATAATACCAGCCTTGTTCCTCAGTAGTTTCTGAGATCAGCGTTCAGACGTAAACAAACAAACTCTATAGCTTTATGAGTATATATTGGTAGTATAGAATGGCTTTATTCGGATAGATCGGTAAGAAATCTAAACTGCATACAAAAATTAATTTCGAATAACGTGACAATAGCTTTTATCCAACTCGTGGATGGAATAAAAAGCTTCGTTCTCCAAAGTATTATTTGTGACTTCACGCCCTGCATTGCAATTGCATGCCATGCCTCGAACGGGAGAAAGGACAGAGAGATTTTAGTCAGTAAGAGTCTGACACTCCCCCTCGCTCCCAGGGCGATAGAAAGCAAATAAGATTTTCTCACTAAAAAAAGTCCATTAATACACATACAGTACTTAACTATGTAAAACTAGCTACTCTTACGCGGTTTCACCCGCTGCTCGGCTCTGTTTGATCGTAGCGTGATGTTTTATAGCCTATAGCACTCGGGAACATTATAGTTATCTATCCATGGAAGAATTTTAGCAATCCGACCAACGGTTCCAAAGATTAACCCCTACGTACAAACTTACAAGCTTACAAATTTTAACTCTTTATAATATTAGTATCCTTACTATCTCTAACATAAAGTTTACTTTCCCAGTAATCACAATCAGGATGACAGAGGGCAAGTGTACGTTTGGCACACGGATGCCAATAGACATCCACATGCTGAACGAAATCATTTACCGAGAGGTGAAACACTTCAGGAACTACAAGATATACAGACCGAACTTTGGATGTAAGGCAGCATACCCTACTAATATTATAATAGTGAAAGTTTGTAAGAAAGTATGGATGTAGGTATGTTTGTTATCCTCTCACCTAAAACGGCTGGACCAATTTGGTTGAAATTTTGTATGCGGATAGGTGTAATAGGTACACCGAAAAAGCCTCGGACGGAAGCTATATATAGTATTAAGTATAGCCTGGAAAAAAACAGATAAGACGAAAATAAAGATAGTTACCGATACACATACGTTTTTTGCCAATTTGATTTAGTGTATGTAATATTTATGTAATAACATATTTATGTAATGAATGAACATAACTCTAAACTTTGATATTGATTATTTTGAAAACCGCTTGGCGACGCTGCCATAGGTTATTTCATCAGTTGATAGGACTGCTCATTTGCCCCCTATTCCCAAAAAAACAATACCTATGTAACAAATCTCTTCAGCTATACCTGTAACCGGTAAGTTCTACGCTGCTCACGACCAGCTCAAAGCAGAATCAGTAGAAGAAACGAAAAAGGTGGAAGACTACCACAGCAACGTCGCACAGACCAGAGCCAAGGGACCTCATAGCAAATACGACGCGCCAGCAACAGAAAATCAAGCGTAAGAGTCTTCTTTAAAACTTTACAGCAAATCCTGAAATAATTTTAATGTTGCATAGCATACTTAGGTAGCTTAATTGTTTTCATCTGTTAGATAGTTTCCCCCTTATTACAAAACAAGGTTTATCTTTAGTCCAGGTTTAAACCACTGTGTCGGGTTTTGAATTTTGAATCTTATTGCCCTCTACCTTCAATTCGTAATACGAAAACTGGCTCAATGGTTTAGTCCTAGACTAAAGTAAAACCTTGTTTTGTAATAAGGCCGTTTAAGTTCAAATCGTTAAGTCGTTAGCTACGCGAAGCGATCCGCACGCGTTTCAAAGAGCAAATAGATCACCACAGATGGGGGACAACATGGCCAATGTTTAGCCAGGGTCGCGGGTCCGCGGCCTCAGCATGGAGTAGGAGAAGAAACGGGTTGATTTTTAGTCAGTAAGATCCTGAAACTCCCTCTCGCCATACCCTCGGCAAGAGTAATCAATTAACGATTTTCCCTCACCAAAAAAGCCCGAATTGTAGAAGGATATAAACAGTTTCTTAAAAAAACATGCCAGTGGTTTATAAAGACAAAAGCTACTTTCCTTATTCCCTGTCACCGCACTAACCTTTGTGCTACTGGCAATGATAAATTATTAAAACTACTTAAATAGAAGTTTCAAAACTTTTTATCAGACCCAGACCACATAATGGTGGTTAAAACTGAATTTAGCAACTGGTTTATTTACTTTAGTATCCTTTAATGTGATAGTAATAGATGAAAGACAATAAAAACAATGTTGTATTTTTTCTGGGAATTGATCGTGGATAGTGATTTTTAAATCTCTGCGACATTTCATCATCACTCCAGGTCAAACGGAGTAAAGTACCGCGACTCCAGCCTAAAGCAGAAGAAGGAATGAAGTGGTTTTAGTCAGTAAGACCCTCCCTATCGCCTCACCCTGTGGGAAAAAAGACATTTGATGGTATTCCCGGTACAAAAAAAAACCTTGACCATCAGCAACTCTCATTTTATAACCCTTCTTATTACAGTTACGGCTGGTACTACAAACCCCTAGTGCCAATGAACCGCAGTGACCGTCGGTTCTACCATCCATTGAGAGAAAGCAAACAAACCAAGATAGAAATCATTATACTAATGTCCAATCCCAAAAATAAAAAGACGGTATGAAAAGAAACAGTGCATGAACCACAAAATAACTTTCAAGATGACACTGCAAAAAATATCACGTGGAAGACCCATTTGTCGGCATGGAAGGACTGAAGTACCCTGAGTTATATGACGATTTCAAAGAAACCTGGAATGAAACGAAAAGAGCTACAAAATTGCTAAACCAAAACATAGAATTCCCACAGAACATTACAATGGCGTCATACCTATCGTGCAGTTCTTTCTCTTCTTCAATGTCAAATATCTGTAGATGACCGTTCAAAATACATACAAAATACTTAAGCTCCTTAATCTCTTGCCTTTACATGTGAGAGAGCCATGCTTCGTCACAAATGGGTCTGCTTGACCGGAGTGATAGATACCTCACAAAAACCGGCGTGAAACCTCCCCCACTCATCCTTGATCCCTTAATCCTCAAATCCCTTATCCTTAAATCCCTAATAACCCACACGAGGTCGGCAACGTACTTGGATTCTTGGAGGTATTATGAAAAAGTAATCCATGTTTTCGTTTGCCGACCTAGACATAAAAATCATTCATATTAAGACAGGAACCGATTCTAGAATAAGCTTCTTTGTTCGACTGATTAAAGCTAGTATTTTTTAGCAATGAACTTATGTATTTTTTACTGGCTATATTGAAATGTGGGTTGATTAACCAACCCAATACTATATTGTAATAAAACTTAAATCAATAAATCCGTACCATGTATAATAAAACACAAATTATGAGTTATAATTTATTCGGTAGGTTTTTTCTCTTCAGTAGCGTACTGGTTCCATTTGCGGTTGTATTTCTTCTTGAAGTCTCTCTGGTCTAAAGGTTGCAAATGAGCCGCAGCCACGCGATCCCTGAAACAACCAAATATTTAAAATCAGTCTTAAACATGTATCTAGACCATATGCAATCGCTTTGGAAACGCCAAAATATCATCTCGCCTCTCATCTTCTTTCGAAGGCTATATTTATAGTAGTCAAGTTCAGGCGGTAAAGATAAAAAATATTTCAACTGTAGTATCTGCCTAGATAACAAAGTAGAAAAACTTGTAAGTTTGTATGTAGGGGGTAATCTTTGGAACCGCTGGTCGGATTGCCAAAATACTTTCACTGATAGCTAGCCACGTTCCTGAGTGCTGTAAACCATAAAAAAAATATTGAATTGCGTATTTTAAACGTTTTTATAATCTCGGAAGCTACTCTATTGGTACACGACACAAATATCATCAATACGTTGATAACTTTATACTTCCGAGACTTATGATATTTTTTTCCTTCTTTTTTGCTTAGTTATCGGACTTTGACTATAACACATACACGTTACCTAGCACCATAACAAAAATTTGCGGACCTCGAACAAGCGAGAGACGAGAGATGTTGTACATCTTCGAGATATAGTATAAAAGTATAAACTAAACATGAAAGGAATAATAGAAAACGAAAATGCTACTTACGCGAACTCCTCGTAAGTTTTAGCAGTGTGTATAGCGTCGCATTTGACATCATTGACCCTCCAGTACTGCCTGTCTTCCTCCACGCAGGCCTTCAGCTGGTCCTCCATGGCTGCAAAGTCACCAGCACTCAACGGCTTATCCATTTCAAAGTCAGCCAACTCTTAGAAATTGCTCGAAGCCCCTCAATAGGATCTGTGAAGTCATATTTTGTTATAAATTCGAAGTATAATGGAAAAGGTCTGCTTGATGAAGAAAGTAATATTGGCTGCTCCAGAACTTGCTTGATTAGTATAAATGATAGCATTGCAGCTTTTTTTATGTATTTTATTCTTTTTTTATGGCTAAATAATTTTAATAATTATGTAAAAATGTCATTTTGAAGGATACCTTTCTTTTTGCGCCGTCACAGATGACGTTATTGATGTAACTATACGGTTGCCATGGTGATTTGGTTATTGTTTATGATGTGAATTGTGAACCAATGTTGTTGATTGCCTTGGTAATATGTTTATATACTCTTTGGTGGCAAAGCAGTATAAAATGCAAGGTCATATTAGTCACCATAAGCGCGGGGCTGCGGCCGGCGAGCAAGTGTAGTCGCCACACATATCCATTTCCAAGCGTAAAGCACGTAGCATTCCGCGAGCTTCTCTGTGTGCTTGTCTTGCTTGAGGACGCGGGCTTGAAAACAATGCGCGCACCTCAAACAGTTGTTAGACCATTACAGACGGAACCCTACAGGGCCGATGTTCAGCCGGGGGCTAACGCTATAAGGTACCACAGCCTCGGCCTAAAGCAGAAGGGACTGATTAGTCAGTAAGAGTCGGAAACTCCCTCTTGACATACCCTGGGCTTGAAAAGTAATTTGATGATATGCCCCTCCCAAAGAAAATGTTTGTGTGTGTTGCAGTAATGTCGTTGAACTTGAACTGGAGTTATGAAATTATGAACTTGAGTTCATAATTCCATAACTTCATAAGTTATTATTACTGAAAATGTCCAAATTTCTTGACCAGCTTATTCACTAGCTCACATTCTTTCAACCTTATTTTTGCCGAATAAAACAATTTTCAACAACCTTTTCATACAGCCAATAAGAACTACAAAATCAAAAACAATGCATTGGCTCTGTAAGCACTGATTAAGTGTTTGTAACATGAAGTTATACAAACACACACACACACACACACACTTAATGTAACATGATCGGTCAATTTGCGACACCCATCATCTGTACTAAAAGGATTTTAATTGATACTTGTGCTAGTTATCATTTTTGTGTAAAGAGTAAATACATACATCATCATTAACCACAATTGATGTTCCACTACTAGGCAATTTTAAATACGGGAGAGCTATGCTCTGGCCCGAATGGGTCTACTCAACCGGAGTGAAACCACGACCTCAAACAAAACCGACGTGAACCAACCAAGGCGTTGTATTTCGCCGTGTGAGTAAGGTTACCGTAGGCCCAATCCCTCTCTTTTTTATGTAATAGGTCGGCAAACGAGCAAACGGATTACCTGATGGTAAGCAATCAGCACCGCCAATGGACACCCGCAACAATAGAAGAGTTACGAGTGCGTAGTCGACCTTTTGGGGATTAGGAATCTGGAGACTTAGGAATTGGGGGAGAGGAAGGATAGGGCCTCTGGTAACCTCACACGGCGAAACACTACGCTGTGATTGTTACCCCCTCCCCATTCCATCCCAACCAAACCATAATATTTGAAACCCTTATCCCCTGAAGGCTGGCAACGCACTCGAAACTCCTTTGGTGTTGCAGGTGTCCATAGGCGCTGATTGATTACCATCAGGTAATCCGTCTGCTCGTTTGTTGCTCTGTCACATAAAAAAACTTTCTGACAATGGTGACATTGGTATTTTGATCTACTAGTATTCAAACCCACGTCCTCAAGCATGTAAAGCGGACGCCTTAACCTCCAAGCTACTGACCGTACAATTAATTAAGTCTCAAGTAAAACTAAAATAAAACACTGGGCGTCGGAAATGTAGTACCACTTCTATAGAATCTGACGTGATCAGGAAACCACAAAGCGGATTGTAGCGACGTTCGACTGTAAAATCAGTAAGCTAAATAATATTATGTAATGTCTTATACTTAACTTTTAAAATATAAACTGGACTAGCTTCCGCTCGCAGCTTTGCCCGCGTGGTATGTTAATAAAAAGCAGCCTATGTCTTTATACAGGACTAGCTACGGCGGTTTCACCCGCTGCTCGGCTCCATTTAATCGTAGCGTGGTGTTTTATGCAGAGCCTATAGCACTCAGGAACGCTGTAGCTATCTATAAGTGAAAGTATTTTGGCAATCCGACCAGCGGTTCCAAAGATTACCCCCTACATACAAACTTACAAACACACAATCTTACAAATTTATAGTATACATATAACCTATCAAGAGCAATAAGGCACTGTTGGCCTAGAGCAGGAGGAAGAAGGGGGTTTTGAGTCAGTAAGAATCTGACACTCCCTTTCTCCCCACCCTGGGCGGGAGAAGCCATTTGATGATTTTTCCCTGACAAAAATCAACATACCAAATTTCAACGAAAGCGGTCCAACCGTTTTTGCTTGAAAGAAACATACCTACATACATACATTCTTACAAACTTTTACATTTATAATATTAGTAGGATTATATGTAGGTGCCTGATAGCTACTTATAAGTGACTCGAAGTTGCTTTTTCTTCTTTTTCAAAATAAACAATTATCGTACTTCTATCTTCACACACATTATCAAATATTTGCCCACTGCCAAACCAAAGCCCCTTCTCACGCTAAAAGCGCAGTTAGCATCAAACACCACACTCGCTTTAGGCAGATCACCGATTTCAAAATATTATAAAAAAATAATAAAAGTTCAGGTTTCCTCAAGATTGAGTGATGATCTCCGCCTGAACATCAGCCTTATAGGGCCCCGTCTGTAGTAGTCTATTGGTTCTATGAGGCGCGCGCGGTACACTACGAGCCGTACGTTTGGATCTGGTTCTGATCGGGCGGCGAGCTACGTGGCCGGAGATCATCTCTCGATCCCCACCGCCCAAAAGGGTATATTCCATGTGGAACCTATTTTGCAGTGGATACCTATATCTGTTTTTGAAAACACCTAAGAACGGTGAACGTGGTTGAGCACGTTGGAATGTCTGCTAACAATGCTTAGTATGTTACCTTTTTTTTCACTCTCTCTATTAGTTTTGTCTCTAGTAGTTTTTTTATTTGTTATTTTGTTATTATAATGTATTTTTTCTTGTCCTTTGCATTCATGCATTTTGCCGATTAAACATTCAATATTCAATAGTGTAACTAAAGCCCCATTTACATGGTTGCACGTTTCTTGCCTGTTGCATACAATTATTTAAAGCCCTAAAAATCTAAACAACTATGGTATTATGTAAACAAACCTTTATTGGTTACAATTATTGCTCTTGTATATTTTAGAAAATGACATCGTGTAAATGAGCTTCTATTATTGAAAGAGTGCTCTGACAGCACAACGAACAATGGCAAAATAACAAATTTCAAGAAGAAATCAGTGACTGTTTGACCAGAGATTCTCAAATATCTGTAGAAAATTCCTGGGGGATCTTATTAATAGGTCTTTACCAATGAAATTGCCGTTCTGCAGTACTGGCCATTTAAAATCGAAATAGTTTTTGTTAGGCTAAGGCTAATTAATTTTGTTTCAAAAACATGGGATTCTTTTTCCAAAAGTAGTCATTTGTTTATTGATTAGTGTTACATTTTCATCGCATTTCAAATCGAAAAATTCGTTTAAATTTTTTCATGCAAAACGGCAATTTCATAGGTAAAGACCTATTATAACAATTGATAAACACTACATTTTTTATGTTTGGTATATTCGATTCTCGGCAATATTAAAAGTTAAGGTAAATATAAAACTGACGACTTCACGGTGACCATCCTACATGGGTTTGCCATAATCTCTACGTTTGATAAGCGTTGGTGATCGCAGCTCAAAAGTCCATACCGTCCGCGCATGTTTTTCCTTGTTTAGATTGGAGAAAGTAATTGGAAACCTTTTCCTGCCCTTTGAGGGGAGAGGAAGGGTAAGACTCTTACTGACTAAAAACCACCCGTTCCTTCTCCGGCACACACCTGCAAGCGACGCCCATGGAAACCCATAATATCAAGTAATGCGTTGCTGACCTTTGGAGATTTCGAATGTGAGGTTGAGGCAGGATTGAGCTTTTGCTAATTTTATTCACACAGCGAAACACAACCCAAGCTTTATTTTACACCAGTTTTTCGTGACGCAGTGGCATCGCTCCGGTCGAGCCATCCTATCCGTGCCGAAGCATGGGTTGCTCACACTTAAAACTTTGAGAACCACTGCTATAAACTGTTGATATTATGCAATTAGCCTTTGCCGTATTCTGAAAACATTCGCGATAATTCAACGCTATTCGCTAGTTGCAAACTGTAAACAGTTCAATCACTTGATTCATTATATACTTTCGTATAACGTCATTTAATATTTCGACAGTTATAGTAAAATTATTTTTATAAAATACGGGCTGTGCTTGTAAACATTCGTAATGTTCGTTTGTAATATTTTATGTAGGTAATTATTCTGATAAGATTTTTTTTAATTATTACTTTTTATTTGTAGAATGTATTCCCCAAGCTATTTTTCGTTTGTATAAATATAATTACTTATTTAATTGAACTTAAACATACGTATGTGCCCTGTACCCACGTTTGTTCCTTGTCTTAACATTTAAAAATGAGAGAAAACATTAGAGAGATCGGTATACGCATTCTCAAAGTTTGCGCTTAGCAACACCTTATAATAGTGAATTAAATTTTACTTTTATTGTTGTTTTGAGATTCCTCTGTAATCTTTTTTACAAATATTTCGAATTCGATTTTTCTCACCAGTTGTGACAACCCTTGCGATGAACATCGCCTGTTACCTTTGCTACGTAAACTTCGAGCAGTTTGGTGGTTTCGATGCTCTAACAACTGCGAAGAGTACTCCCAACTGGCAGCCAAAGACGAAACCGAAGACAAGAACTACAGAAAATACGCAAACAGCCAATGTTAACAAAACTAAACAGATAGAAAACTCCGTAGCCGCGAGCAATGAGGTAAATATGATAGACTAGCTACTCTCGCGCGGCTTCACCCGCTGCTCAGCTCCATTTCATCGTAGCGTGATCTTTTATAGCCTATAGCACTCAGGAACATTGTAGCTATCTACCAGTGAAAGAATTTTGGCAATCCGACCAGCGGTTCCAAAGATTACCCCCTACATACAAACTTACAAACATACAAACTTACTTTTACCTCTTTATAATATTAGTATAGATATATAAGATCCTTATTTTATCCAATCACGTTGATGAATACGAAGAGAGCCAATGCCCGGTCGAAGTTGCAGTTCAAACTCAATGTTGCGAGGTAAGCACAATTATGCACCGCGGCCTCGGCCTGGAGCAGGAGAAGGAACGGAGGGGTTTTTAGTCTGTGAGAGTCTGATACTCCCTCTAGCCTCACCATGGGCGGGTGAAGCCATTTGATGATTTTCCCCTAACAAAAAAGGTCAAACACTAAAACCTATAAATACAGTGCGGCCGACGTATCGAGTCTGAAGTTACCCGATTAGCTGCACAGTACACAATTTTGTTCCTAAATGATTGCGCAGACAAACGGCTAATTTCAGACTCGCCAATACGTCGGCCGCACTGTAAGTGTGGGAGAGCCATGCTTCGGCACGAAAGGGTCGGCTAAACCGGAGTGATGCCACGGCCTCACTGAAAACCTGTGAGTTGCTTCCCCTACCCCAATCCGTTCCCTTTCCCAAAAACTCCAAATCCCAAATCCCCAAAAGGTCGACAAAACAACCATCAGGTTATCCGTTTGCTCGTTCGCCGACACACCACATAAAAAAACCTACCGCGTCCCAGCTCGAAACGGGATAATGGGTGTTTCTTAATCACTAAGGGTCTGAAAATCATTCTCGCCTTATTTTCACAGTTCACAATCAAATCGCTGATACCAAAAAGGACAAAGTTTAAAGTGAGAAAGCTGGTACAAAAATGTTTGATGAATAAGCGGGAAAGGCCTATGAGTATTGGACCTTACGTGGTACCGACACAACTGGACTTGGTGCTCTTCACACAGAGAACTTTACTCAAAATGTTCCGTAGTTACCATGAAAAGACTCTGCTCTTACTTAAGGATATTAAGGAGGTAAGTCGTAAGAGTTGAAGAAGGACTGAAGTTAGTTTGAAGTTAGAACCTATTTAGTAGGAATTTAGGTAACTACACTACATTATGAGCTTCCGAAAATGGCGTCTTCAATTTTCTACACTTGTACTTTTTTTACACATACTCTTGGTGTCTCTGAGTTGCAGATATTTTTAAGCAATACGGTAGTTTCACTAGTCAAATTCAATACTTTTATCCAAATGTCAAAAACGATACTTTTCTACGAAATTTGTATGAAAAACTAAGCTGACGTCATAGTATTATTGCGTCAAATAGCTTACCTACTTATTTCTTAATAATTAGCTACAATATAAAACCTAGTGTATCGATCGATCGATGAATTAAAGTACTTATAGTTATTTTTTAATATTCTATTGTATTGAAACGACGAATTAATTTATGTTTGACCTAGGAAACTACCCAATTGTTACTGTTCACTGTCAGGTGACCTGTAAAATTCATGGTTATGGAGGGTAGTATGAAAAATTATTTGTAAAAATGTTTAGTACATAGTCCTTTACTATACGTACCTACGATACGTATCTACTTATTAAAATAATATCTGAAAATTACCGTAAGTGTATGAAATGGGGCCTAAGCAATCAAAGGGAAACTTTTGATATACATTTTTTTTATGTGAAACAAAAGGCGCTCCCATAGGACGACGGTTTAGTTGCTTATTTCTATGTAATTTATGATGGCTGAAGTTTTCAATGACGGAGTTATAAGCCGAGCGTTCGTCATTTTGCACTGTAGGTACAGTGCGGCCGACGTATCTTGGCGAGTCTGAAGTTAGCCGATTAACTGCGCAGTACACAATTTTATTCCTAAAAGATCTATTGCGCAGACAAACTGCTAACTTCAGACTCGCCAAGATACGTCGGCCGCACTGTAGTGATTAAATGTTTTTGTTCTGTATATATTTTATTTGAATTTTGCTGATTAGTTTATTACTTACATTTTGTGACGGCTCATATTGAAGATAGACAACATATTATGACTTATAGAAAATCTCACGGTACAACTATTGGGCAGTAGTTCACCAAGCTGATCACCTGCCCGCTCAAGGATCCTCATTTTCCGATCTTAGGGAACTTTTCTCTCTGTTCCCTAAACATTGACCACATAACAATTTAAGCTACCTATTTCAGGCTACTAGAGCGACGGTGGCAGTGGAAAAGAAGTGCCGTGGTGACGGCAAAACAATGTACAAGAAGTGTGTGAGACAGGTCAGCAAGAAATGTGTCACCATCACCAAGGACCTTGGCCAGTCGTTGGAGAGACAGCAAGCTCAAGTCATAGCGTTAACAGAGGTACAGTCCTAGATCACCTACAATCCGTTTGAGTGTGGGAGAGCCATGCTACGGCACGAATGGGTCGGCTCGACCAGAGTGATACTACGGCCTCACAGAAAACCGTCGTAAAACATCACTTATGTGTTTCGCCTTGTGAGTGAGGTTACCGGATCCTACTTCCTTTCTTCTAAATCTAAATCTTCGAAACCCTAATCCCTAAAACGCTTACAACGCACTCGTATCTCTTCTTGTATTGCGGGAATCCTTAAGCGGCGCTGATTGCTTACTATCAGGCAATCCGTCTGCTCGTTTACCGTCTTATAAAATTAAAACTTATGAATAGATTCTTTCACCGGTATTCGGCTCTATAAAGTACGAGCTTTATTTAGGTCTAATAAATAAATCAATAATATTTTTTTCTTTCTAGGACACGATATGTAACATAACATCTATGAAAACGGATCCTATACAATTAATAAAAGTCTTAGCTGTGGACGAAGCGTCATTAGAATTTGCATTACCCGCCTTTTTACGACTACTTGGCGGATGTAACGTCTATTGTACCAAGTAAGTGAATATTCACACCATTAACATAAAATTAAAATTCAATTTAATTGTAAACTTCACTGTATTTTTGCAGAGAAACTCCACTAGACCGCCGTCCTCGTCTGCGACAACTGACAGATCAAGAATTAGTAGTTAGACACTTCCTTACGAAAAAAAATTACGTACAACTTATAAAGGACACCAATAAGTATGTGTAAGGATAAAAGAATGCAGCGTTGGTAAACTGGATGCATTCCGAGCATTCATCGCCAATGAACGCAACCGCTACGATCGATCGAGTTTTGTTGTACTTCGCGTGCCATACGCTAGATGTCGCTAGGATCAATGAACTTTTGACGTGAACTTGATTGAAACTTAGAATAACTTAACCAAAATATTCTAAGCTTTTTATGTGATGTGAATAGTGATAACCGTGAGAATATATTAATAAATAACTACGTTTATAATACAATGCGTGAGAAATGCACATGTGTGATTTAATTCGTAGAATTTAACATCCTGGTTTCTACTTACAAAACTTTGGCAAAATTCCAATGATAAGGTATGTTGTGTTATTTATTAATGAAATAATCATAATCGGCTATGCATTTCGGTAAATTCCAACTCCAATATCAAGTGTTATTGTATTTATAAGGTTAGTTTAATTACTTTATTAGGAGGCGAAAGTCATATTAGCCCACTTTCACGCGCGTATCTACTAACGACTAAGCAAGGTTTAATAACAATACAATTTTACACATATTCAAAGGCAAAATATAAACCAAAACATACAAATTTAATTAGCCCACGTAATTCAAGCATCTGTTATGACAAACTTTACGAATTCTTTCTATTTTGTTTAAAACTTGTGTAAACTTATTTGTAACTTGACATTCCTGATAATGGCTAAGTATGACATTGTAAACATGTAAATATTAGACCAATAGAGTAATAGATTAGTGTAAGACAATCAATAAACATTGTTGCTGGACAGTTTCATTCATTAATTCCTACTGCAGTGGTTCAGATGATTAAGTCTGCATGGACTTTTTCCAATATAGAAAACCTGCATTATATGTGCTGTAGCTTGTCATTACAGATACAGATAATGTACAAGTCTGTTACTATTCTGGCTGAATCATTTGAGTACCATGTTCCTTACAAGTTTAATAGCAGAACAGTTAAGTTGTTAAATTACTGTTTAGCCACTGTTCGCAGTGTAATAAAACTTGATAAACTATCAAGAAATAGAAACTTATAAGTCTTTTGTTATAATTTTTTTAATTGTGTTGTAGTGTAGTTGTTAGTATTAATAGCAGATTATAACAATTACTTTGTGTCACACATAAAGCCATATATTCCGGATGACCAAAAGGACTTGAGGTTGCGACATCTGAAAAGCTAAAGGTTTTGTTTATTAATCAAACAATGTGTTCACTTCGTTTAGGTATTCTTTCTTAACTTGTTGTAAATTAATAAAGCACTTTCTTAATATTTAGATTTCAACATAAAAGTTGCGCTGGTAATTCTATCCCTGAATTACAAAATACTCGATAGGTAATGGTATGGTATAGAAAAACACATTAGACACTATACCTGAACTAAACAGTGTCTGTCAATAACCTGCAATGATGGCTGTATCCAATATTATTCATACACTTAATAGGAACACTTAATTAAGATTTATAAGTATTTTAAGTGCTATGTGATTACGGTAATGTTTTAAACTATCAAATAGAAAAACATCAATTACTATTCAGTAGGACTATCAGAAAAAAATTGAAGCTTCACTACCATAGGGCACTGGTGAAATATGTGGTGGTTAGCTTGATTATTATTAATTGGCTTACCCATTAAGAAAAACTGGTAACAGAAACCGATATTTTTTACAAATAAAGTACAAAAACAGCGCTCAATCTTATAATTTTTTTATTCAATTCCATTACAATAGATGGTATTATAAAACCTACTTAACATTAAAACTAAATTACAATGTTATCAGCCTTATAATTATGGGCATAAAGAACTTATTGCCTAATATTTCACTGCTCACTCATGGTCTTAATCTTAATGCATACATTTTAAAATTATCATACCGACAGGAGCTTTGTTATCCACAAGAAAATTAAAAAAGACTAACACTTGAAAATAGTGAATCAGATACACTTAAAAAAAATAACATCATCCTTACTGTCACAGGTAGAATTGATCATAATCAGATGAATTATAAATATAATTAAATGCGATATGTTAATAAGGTAAACAAAATTATTTAAACCATTGACTACTGACAGAAAACTGTTGGAGGTAAATCCTGTGCTAAGGAAGGTCACCGGTGACCCAATGGCGTTTAATGTGTTAATTCAATAATACTATCATTTTATTTGAAAACTAATGTATTAATTTGTTTTTAAAATGTGGTAAATAGTTGACAGTGTTGATGTGTGTATAATCACAATAGGACAAAGAGATAATTTATTAATCTACTAATTAAGATAGCAGCAGACAAAAGAAACTGTACAAAGTATAATATGTCAATATTAAGGGTAGTCTAAGATATTTGTACAGTAAATATTTTTAATCAATCATAATACTACAACCTAAAAGGTAACAACAAATGTCATTTTCTACTCTTTTTCTTGTCACTATGAGACCTCTTTGAGTGCGACTTCTTAGACTTCTTCTTGTGTTTCCTCTTCCTGCTTTCTCTATCTGATTCGCTGCTAGATGTTGATGATGATGAAGAAGAACTAGTTGTAGATGATGTGCTTGATGACCTTTGAACATAATGAGGACAGATTATAAACATTACATACTCAGAAAGCTAAACAGTTCAAGAGTAAATTGGTCATTGGGGTTGCATAATACACTTATTTATGAGAATAACTTCGGCTTAACATCTTAATAGAATATGTCTTTGTTCATTTAACCTATAAGGAGTTAAAGCCTGCAAGTTTTTTAGTATGCAGGAAAGAAAATAAAGAAATATTCAGTACAGAGTAACCATTGTTCAGCTACTAAGCCAACCTGTTATCATTAAAAACCATAAAACATGTTGAATTATCTGTAACATCTGATCTGAAAATCTGCAGGTGTATCTTGCTAGAGCTAAGGGTATCTGTAAAGTTTCTCTTTACCTGTACCACCACCTAAACAAATAAACAAAATCTCTAAACAAAAAATGAAATATAAAGTAACTGTTGAAAAGTGTAGGTATATAATATGTATGTGTAATAGTGTATTAATGTTTAATTACACATACCTAGATCTCTTTCTTTTTTTACTTTTGCTTTTCTTCTTCTCTTTGGCTTTCTGCAGCTTCTCTTGTAGCTTCTGCCTTAATTCTGCTTCTCGGAGGCGCTGGAGAGGCGTGGCATACTCCTCCTCAGAGTCACTGCTCGTACTGCTTACATCCAGCACTATTTCTTTATTGGGATCCACCTGGAGTATTGAGAATTAATGTGATTTATACCATTAATGAACTGTGTATAAAAACAGGCTAAATAAGGATGGTTTGGTTATTGAATGTCTTAGGGGTGAATTACTTTAGTAATAAATGCCTTTGATAGAGGTGTCTGACTTACAATATAGATTCTACACTAGAAAATTTAAATGAAAGTGCACTAAATATAATCAAAACTACGATTTATTCGTCGTATTATAACTATTTCTTCTGTAATTAACTTTATCCAAGTTAATCAACATAGAGATAACTTAATAGTTTGAGTAGTTAATAGCAAAATCAAAGATTTTTACCTTTATAAAGTTTCTACATTGAAACGTAAGATGCCCCGCATAACCACACTTTTTACAAGCAGCCCGAGCCGTCTCCTTTCCGAATTTATTCACTAAATCTGGGTAGTTAGACATTTTTGTCAAGAATCGCTAATAAAATAACAAAACCAGAACGAAAATACCACGATTTCTAGTAAACTCCAGACGAGACGTGAAACGTCAACAAACAAATGCGTTCCGTTTTATTGCATAGTTTGCTACCATAAACATAACATACGAAACGTAAAAAATGTATTTTCAACTTTATAACTTTAGATGCTGTAATGTATTAACACATTTTAAGTAATATATTTCAAACAAAAATGTAGTTGTTTAAATATATTTTAATTGATAAGATTCAAATACGTTACGTGGTAATTTAACCTTTAAAGTGAAACAAAATGTTTTTACAACGTTCCGTTTTGCAAATAATTTTAGGATTTTTATAACATTTAGCATATTATTTTATTTTTGTTCCACAGCAAATGACGAAATTTCAAGCAAATAAAATCACAAATATTTTCTCAAAAATAACCAGTTGAAAGAAATGTACGGAAATGGCGGAATTCCTGCCGCTGTGCGACGTGCTGTTCAACGTTATCTCGCTGGCCGGGTACTTTTGCGACGTGGTGTTCGACGTCGTAATGGGATACGCGTTACTCGAACGAGGATATAAAGGAACTTTCGCTGCTGCTATATCTATTGTTATCACCTCCCTAGTCATATCACAGGTAATTATTATTTTTTTATATATATTTGTGTAACGGAACGTAATACGGATAGTTTTTAATTTCACTGTCTTATGATTTGGGTACCTGTTCTTTGAGCTTTAGGTGTAAAAAAAATTTAATTACTTTATGATACCGAGATATTTAGTTGAGATAACGTTTAATAAAATAAGTATTAACTTACATAGTTATATTTTGATCTTTTTATTTAGAAATGTACCCTCTATCATATTATTACCCTTTGTCTGTAAACAGTAAATTAACAGACCTTTATCATAATTCCCAGGTGCTCTCTCTCCGCTGGTACTTACACGTATGGTGGGCAGGAGAAGGTCGCAAGGGCAGGCCGCCATGGCTGCCAATACTGCTGCACTGTCTCCAGCTAGGTGTTCTATGGAGATATGCCAGGCTACTTGTACCTGTCGAACTAAGGAGAGTCAAGCACCAAGTTCGGGATCTATGTAAGTAATGTATTATATTTTTTATGTCATAGGTTGGCAAACGAGTAGGCGGATTGCCTGATGGTAAGCAATCAGCGCCGCCCGTGGACACTCGTAGTACCAAAAGGAATTACTACTAGTGTGTTGCCAGCCTATTGTGGGTTATTAGGGATTTGAGGATTAAGAATTTAGGGTGGAGGTAGGAGGGAAGAATTGGGCCCCCGGTAGCCTCACTCACACGGAGAAACACAACGTAAGTTTTGCTTCACGCCGGTTTTGTGTGAGGCGGTATTACTCCGGTCGAGCCGGCCCATAATTAATTTTTCTTAACTACATAAATAAAGGTGTTTTTTTTTATATAATTACTATTGACTTAATACAGGTATGCTACGCCTAGTCCACGCGTTCTGCGAGGCAGCACCCATGTTACTGCTTCAGCTACACATTTTATTCAAGGATACCAACAGGGAACCGACTAGCGACCTCACCGTCACTCCCGAACCGAGCATTGATGAACCATCAGGTTAGACAATCATTATCATTATACCTATTTATGCTAATTAATTCGTCAATTGGGTAGTTTCCTAGGTCAAAAATAAATTAATTCAACATCTCAATACAATAAAATATTTTTTACCTAATTTTTAAGAAATAAGAAAACCATTTGACTCAAAAAAGTATGACGTCATAACTCAGTTTTCCATACAAATGTCACAGAAAAGTATCGTTTTTAACATTTGGATAAAAGTATTGAATTTGACGAGTTGGAAACTACAGTATTCTCCAGCGAACGCCGGCGTTCTTTGATTGTGTCTCGAATTACCACTTATAAAGAGAAAAACAATATTGTTTGTTCTTTCCGAAACTGCTTGACCAATTTGTAACACATATGGATGAATAGATTATATATAATAAACTAGATTATATTTTCACTTTTATATTTAATTGCCAAAATATAAAAATAAATAGGATTTTGACGTGTAAAAGTGCCATTTTGTGTATCATTGTTTCATTATATTTGCTTGTTTCAGAAAACAAAGCGTTCGCGGAGCTGAACGTAATATCGGCGTCTCTTTCTTTGTTCTCCGTATGCTGGGCGCTGGCCAGCTTCAGCAAGAATGTACGCCTGCAGAACGTTCACCGACTAGTTCTCACCTGGCTTGGAGTTATATTCCAGGTAAAATATTTTTATTTTTATAGGATAAGTCGGCAAACGAGCAGACCTATTACCTGATGGTAAGCAATCGGCGCCGCCCATGGACAACCACACCACCAAGTGAGTTACGAGTGCGTTGCCGCCTCTTGGAGATTGGGGATTGGGGGATGGAAGGATTGAGCCTCCGGTTCCGATAACTTCACTCACATGGCGAAATACAACGCTGTCCTTGCTTCACACCGATTTTCTGTGAGGCCGTGGTTTCGCTCCGGGCGAGCCGACCCCTTCGTGCCGAAGCATAGCTCTCCCATACTAAATAAATAAAAGTAATTAATAATCATTTTTGGTATCAATGGAGACGCTATAAGCTAAATTAAAACTATTTATGATTAGTGTACAAACGACTGCACGGTTGGAATTATGGCTGGACAACAAACAACATACAAAGTGTGTCTGGTTCGATTTCCGCACAGAAAAACACTTGTGATACACAAATTATTGTTTCTGGTGTAGTTGATTTGTGTAACTATTTGAATTTGTATGTCTGTAAACGCACTCACGGCACAGACGAAGATCCTAGAGATCCTATCCTGGGATAACGTTTTGAAAAAACGCTGCACGCTGCTCGATGAATAAGAGTCCCGTTGTGACTTGAAACTAGTAGAGCTTTTCTCGATTAATTCACGTGAGTAAGTCGGTATTTTAAATAAAGTATAGAGGATATCTGGAAACGTAGACCATTTCGTCGTTCAACGTTTGCAAGTACATAATTGTACACCCTTGCGAAAATGGGTCGGGATTATTCTAGCTTCCGACTGCGGCTTCGACCGCGTTGTATGTTGATTAAAAGAAGCCTATGTCCTATTTCGGATTCTATTCTATGCCTGTGCCAAATTTCATCTAGATCCGTCCAGCCGTTTTGGCGTGGTTGAGTAACAAACATCCTCACATTGTAACTTTCGCATTTATAATATTAGTAAGAAGTAAGATTACTTTTCTTGACTCATCGAATATTCTTGGCACTAATCTGAAGACATATATTTCTTGAAGGATCTTCAAATCCCAAGTAAATAGGCTGCTTATAAGTAGGCGTGGTCTATCATCAGCCGTAATCATCATTTTCATTTAGTTGAAATGTATTGTTTTGTTTCAGTTCCTTTGGCGCCTGGGTACAATATCGGCGCGTATATGCGCGCTCACCGTCTACGCTCTAGTCTACGAGTATTGGGTCTTCTTAGTTATAGGTAAGTAATCGTAATTCGAAAATCCTGTTCATTTCTTTGTATCATGTTTACAGTACCTATCTGATTCTTATATCAATAACACTATAAACTTGTGTTTTTCGTGAAAATGTATCAAAATAAAACCCTAGTGTTATATATTTTTGTAACCTACTCAAGCGTTTGGAAGTTACAGTGGAATAAAGAAAATTACACACATACATACATGAACCCTAAAAACATAACACGCCTTTTTGGATAGTCTTGTAAAAATCTGTGTATTAGTGTATATACGTATACAAACGCACCTAATTCACACGTCACAAGGCGGAGAAAGGAGGAAGCTGAACTCGTTTTGAAACATCACGCAACCACCACTCATCTTACGAGCGTTAATATGAACCCCGGTATAGCTTGAAAATAGTCGAGCATCCTCGTATTTTGCTTAAGCCATATAATTAACTTAATTTAGTATATCTCACTACAGCTATAACTTAACAATACTGTGACAGGTCTCCACTGGCTCTCAATGTTCCTGTGGCTGATATCTCCTAAGAACGTGTTCCACGGGGAACGAATCAGTCGGCCGCGCAAGGCGTACCTCTCCGCGCTCATAGCATTCGTATACGTCTTCGCTTATGTCAACCTGCAAGAACTTAATCATAGGCAGAAAATGGTAAGTAGATAACTTATTTTTCATTATTTTTGGATTAGAAATCAAACAAGAACATCTGAAAAGCGTTTTTGAGAGGTAGGAATTTGATCTACGGTAACTTAACTCACATGGCGAAATCATTTGCCCTCTACTTTTCTAGAATTTCAAGATCAAGTAGTACGGTGCGGCCGACGTATCTTGGCGAGTCTGAAGTTAGCAGTTTGTCTGCGCAATGGATCTTTTAGAAACAAAATTGTGTACTGCGCAGCTAATCGGCTAACTTTAGACTCGCCAAGATATGTTGACGGTATTGTTACACCTGAATGTCTATTTATTGGTAAAGGTAAGATTAAACACCGCGTTCAGATCAATGAGAGATGGGAGTAAAACTGTACGTATTTCCAAACATTTACGCCAAAATACTTCTTTTTAAAATGTTCGAAACTCACAAATGACATACTATAAAAATGACTGTTTAATATATGTGATGTAGGTGACGTTCTACTGCGTGATGTGCGTGGAGAACTGGTTGCTGGTGACGGCGTGGTGGTGGTCGGGGCGGGCGGCGCGGCCCGCGCCCCTCGCCGCCGCCACCGCCGCCGCCTTCGCAGCCGGAATCGCATTCATGCTGCTTTACTACAGGTACTTCTACCTTTATCTATACTAACATTATAAAGATCCCATCGTGCGCCTCATATTCATATTTTTGGCGGTGATATTATACTTAAAGTACCTATGTCACTCAGCGAGACTCTTTCTCTTGTTTATCTAAAGAGCACTGAACTTTGAGATAGCAATATAATTAAAACCTTTGGAACTGATGCTCGGATTTCCAAAATTTTTCACTAATTGATAGTTACAATGTCCCCGAGTACTATAGGCTATAAAACATTACGCTACAATCAAATGGGTTCCATTTGATTGTAGCGTGATGTTTTAAGCAGCAAATGAAACCGCGCGGGAGTAGCAAGTTAATAGTTAGTATCCGCAAGACAACTTGTAGCGAGCTGTTGGGCAGTGGCGACCCCCACGGACCTGACTCCCGTGAGGTGTCTTGTTCTTCTTCTCCGGTTAGTCCTCGTGACTAGCTGGAGTGAACACTGACGAGGAACAAGCCTTTCTACCTCATTCTCGCCCTAATTGGCTGGCTTGAGTGGAGATTCGCAAGATTAGGAGTTGAAGGAGACTCGGTGGAAGGATGTATCTCAGTAAGGTGATGGTAGGGGTCTTGACCGTACTTCCGGGACTGCTCTGATAGCCGTGGGATGCCTCTCCTTCCCCAAGCAGTTCAACGTATGTTGCCCCCGTGTCGCTACATGCTAGCGGTCGTTCCGGGGCCCATTAATTTAGTTTGCCAGTCACTTCCTTCCCGTTTATCTGCATGTATCAATATTGGTCAGGGACAGAGGCCACAGTATTTCCATAGTTATCACGTCTACGAGTCCATAGCAACCCATACCCATAGCCATCGCCATATATTTTTTTACCAAATTGCCCAATAGTCCTGCTTAAACCGGGTTTGTCCTTGTGTCGGCTGATGTTCCATTTCACCAATATTAAAGTCGTTCTAAGGGCCTCTGCGAGTTAGTTTCTCGTACACCTTCTTAAGGTCCGAGACCCCGTGGTCCAGTGAACGGGAACGACCACACAAAATAAAAAACGGGGTTATTAAAATTTGTTGTTGTTGGCGAATTTTCCTAGTAGGTATCTATTCACCCCTTGAATTGTTTTCACCCCGTTTCACCGTACTACGTGGTGCGCCAGTTCTGTATAATCAAGGACAGTGGTGTGAATCCCTTGTTCACTTGTACTACTTCTCGATGCTGTCCAATTTCGAAAATATCCTCTGAGATTGCACACCTTGCCATTGTAGAGGATCTGAGCATTTAAAAAGCCTCGATCCTTACACTTCCGCGGAACGTACAACCGACGAACGAGTGTGATGCATTGGATTTGCAGTCAACAGTGTCCGGACTCGCCTACCCTAGGTTAACTCGTTCAGTCTGAGTCCATTAGAGTATGCTAAAAGAGTACATAAGGACTGACATGACCCAAATAATTAATATCAAGATTAACTCTTTTACATTTGATTCCCAACAATTGTAATTCATTCTAGAACAACGCAAACAGTTACAATACAATATTTTTCTAGCACCTTACTTTACTGACGAACAGACTGGCAGAATATTATTCTATTTTGTCATTTTAAAAGTACCTTTACCTTTATGGTTTAGTGGGAACAAATGGATGTGACTTACAATAGCTATCAGATAGGTACTTAATGTCGTCAAATGCCATAATTTTTCTGCTAACAATGAATGAAACTATTTTTTTCACAGATACTTCCACGTGAGGCGACTGGGCTATATGCTGGGAGAACACCAACAAGGAACGAACAGCACCAATACTTCCTCGCAGAATAAAGATGGTAAGGAAAATGTTCTAAGCGCCTAATACAATATTATATACTAAACAACAATGACCTAATCTCTATTTATATGTGGTGAAATAAAAAATATCTTTTTTATATTTCCTACTTTTACTACTGGAAACCTTTCAGATTTTTCTTACTCATATTGATATTGTGTTTTTAGGTAAAACATCTAATCAAGCTGACAACCCAACGATACCGGGCGTGTTCAACTGTAGATTTTCAAACCCAGTCAGCAACAGGTACGTTTGTAAACAAGAATAAGAGTGTAGGACCCAATATTGAACCCTGTGGTACACCCTACCATTAATTTTAAAAATCTTACTTGAATTTTCCTATATAACATTTTTGTTCTATTCTATTGTTACAGTGCAGCAAATGGTCGTAAAAAGAAGAAACCAACTTCGTTCGTGCCCCCTCCAGCTGCCCCCGCTGCCGCATTCTGGAGGAGACCATTACCTGCTGCTCATAATCATCATGTTAGACTTAAACTGTTATATTACAAAATTAAATAATTTCTATTAAATTGGCAATAAAAAACTGTGAAATCCAGTTTATGTAATATTAATTCAAGTTATCAATTTTTAGGGTGGGTCATCAGAAAATGAAGGCTCTAGTGTCGGTTCAAGAGTGAACATCCAACAAAAACTACAAGAGAAGAAGCAGAAACAGCTCGCGGAACTGCGCGTCATAGAGGAGGAGATCAAACAAGGCAAGTTGGCCAAAACCACGCCCGTCGCCGCCGAGGAGATATACAGCAGTTTACAGCGACAGCCCATTCCCCGCGCCAAGACACACGCAGAGCCCCCAGCCTGGCCAAGCATAGAAATGACGCATTCCTACCAAAACTACCCCATCTGCAACATATACCCCACTTACACAGAAATCAAACCAGACTTCAACATTAACATAAACTTCCAAAACAACGAAAATCCACCCACGGAAATCAACGATCCTTTAAAAATGCGAAGAATACCGAATAGGTACGACAATACTCGAACTTTCTACGAAAACCCAGCGAACATGAGAAACGACGCGACGCGCACCCCGATGCGCTCGCCTAATTATTTAGCGCTGAACGAAAATAGGAACTACGATGCTAACGGATGTACCAGTGCTAGGAACGCACTCAGTAATAGTCCTAGGAACTACTTGCCAGACGTTAGCAACAACTACGAAACAGCCGGGCTAGACAAACCTAGAATAGCGCAAAACTCTATATACTCCGAGGATCCTAGACAAATAGGGGAGTATTCAGGTTACTGCGAAGGAAATCAGTACCCGAAATACGAAAGTAAAGACGAGTACGTCTCAGCTCTGCATAACGCGCTGAATGTCCAAAACATAGACAATATTAGGAATAACTACAATGAGGTTGGTTGCGGGTACAACCAGAACTGTGAGCGGTTCCAGTACCCGGGGCTGGCGGGGAAGAAGATGGAGCAGATGAGGAAGATGCAGCGCTGCCGGACGCCCGAGATACTGCTAGCGCCGCACTACCTCGACGGCTGCAACCGACAGGTCTGCTGCCATTGGGGGCCGCCTTATACGTAAGTCTCTCGGATTTTTCATTTGGTTCATTTGTATCCCACTTCAAAATAGCCTGTTACTTATATTCATTGCAAAGCAACCGACCCTACTATTATATCACTCGTCTCTTTTCAACGCCTGTGTGTACATACAATATCTTTGTGTAAGTTTCCGATAAACTTATGGCACATAGTTTACACAAATTGTGTTCTTTAGGCAATGAAACAATTGAATTTATATGTAAGACAACAAAAAAAACAAGTACCTACTTGATGAAATTAACCTTTGTCCAGAAACAGGAAGAAAGAGGAAGGCGCAGGCAGTAGCGGTGAGGAGTCTAGTCCGGACGGACCGGCGCGAGAGACACCCCGACCTCCCAGCGATATTGATAGCCAGGTCAGTGCCACAGCAATTAAAAATGTATATACTACACTAGCTACTCTCGCGCGGTTTCATCCGCTGCTCGGCTCCTACAAATCTTAGCACGATGTTTTATAGCGTATATCTTTCCTCGATAAATGGACTAACGAACACATAAAGAATACGGTAGTTTTCAACTAGTCAAATTCAATACTTTTATCCAAACGTCAAAAACGATACTTTTATATGAAATTTGTATGAAAAACTGAACTATGACGTCATAACTTTATTGCGTCAAACAGCTTACTTATTTCTTAATAATTAGCTAAAAAAATCTAAAATTTAGTGTATCGATCGATCGATGAATGAAAGTATAGTTATTTTTCAATATTTTATTTTATTGAAACGTCGAAATAATTTATTTTTGACCTAGGAAACTACCCAGTTGTCCAATTCGAACCAGTGGTTCCGGAGATTAGCGCGTTCAAACAGTCAAACTAACAAACTGTTCAGCTTTTTAATATTAGTATAGATTAACTAAATATATGTCACTAGCCGCCCGCACCATTTTCACTCGCGTCCAACATCTCGCTAACAATAACAGGGTATTTAAAAAAAAACTTTTCTTCGGTTATTTTAAAACCGTTATGTCTAATAAGCATTGAGCCAACACAATACATTCAGTACCTACATCGGGAATAATTCCAGACAAAGAAAAACATAGTTATTTATAAAAAACTTTTGTGTTTAGATCTCATTGCCACGGTCGTACACGCTGCCGCGGGAGTTCCGCTACTGGCGACGAAGACCACGACTCAGAGACGCACACGTTCCCAGCAATAACAGCAGTGATGGTAAGCTACTATACCGAAGATGATGATGAGAGGTTCAAATCACCACTCCTTAGCGGTTCTGATTATAAAACTGCAGGCGAACCGCTTCGGTGGGTGGGATATCCACCATGAATATTCTTTAGCCTATGTGAGCAATTTTCGCTTTATAATAATTTTGCGAAAATGACATATGAAAACTACTTTTAACGAATTATTCTACTGTGAAATACATACACTTTATTGCCGCGAAGGGAACTGGTTACCTGCATTACAGTTGAACAGTTTCAGTACCTATGTCGACGGGACATATCCTAATGAGATGCACGATAGTTGAGGAGTTAATAGAAAGGTAATATAAAATGATTATTTGTTCGTATGTTCAGGTGACGTGGACAGTGCAGACGACAACGATAGTGAGCACCGCTCGAACTGTTCCGCGGCGTCGCAGTTGCAGAGCCCGACGTACGAGGCGTACTACCGCCAGGCGGACATGTTGCCGCGCGACGATGTCTATGCCTGCGCCGATCGACGCCCGCGCCGGATACACGCGTTCCGCAAACAACCAGCCAAGCCAGAAACCAAGCTATAGTAACACGTCTGCATCTATGTATGTTCTCAAATATTATTGTCTTGTTATCAAGTCACATATTACTAAAGATACTTTGGAGAGGTTACGTGTTGCCTGCAAAATTATTTAACCTTTTTGTAAGAGAAAGGATCTAAGGGATTATTTGAATATGTTTATTATCTCAAAAAGTAACATTGTATTATATATTTCTATTTTTATATTATTATTGACCTGGTATGCCAGCCCTGTTGTATTGGCCGGGAAATAAGTTCATATTTTACTAACAAAAAAAAAAACATATTTTTGTATATTCAATTAGTCAAATATTGTACATACTAACTTTTATATCCGTCCGTTATGGATCTCGATTTTAGTTCAATAGATTATTATTCATTGACTCTGACATAATTGTATACACCTAGCGTAAGTTAAATGTATTATACTTTTGTATTATTGTATGATAGTGTATAATAATAAATGAATAGACTGCGAAAGGGGAGAGTGGAAATAAAACGATACGTGTCAAACTTTTATTTACTTTATTATCTATTATCCAATTGTAAAAGGGGAACCAGTCACTCGCTATCACTCCAGGTCACTACATCGCTACAGATCTCAGCCATTTACACATTTATAAAGAAACATCAACCGAAATAAGGTTAAAAATTCACAAATACACATTTAATGTTGATTAAACCTATCTTACGAGCTAGGGGAGTCGGGCGCGCGGGGAGACGGCTCCCAACTGAACGAAACAGAACATACGACACTACAACCCTTAGCGATAAAACGTATTTAAAGTGTAGGGTCTGTGTCTGCAATGCGGTTCACGAATAGAGACTATCGAATATAGACAAAAACAGGTCGCCTCTATGGGGAAACGCATTGCGCCGCGTCTCCGCTCGCCCGATCCCGCACCTACGTTAGCTTCACCCACGGGACTTTGCGACATCGGCCACAAGTTACATTAAAACAATATCAAATGCTATAGCAGCACCTAAAATTATAAGAAGCGCTTCGAGAAAAATAAAACTTATACACTATTTCTGTGTAATGAGAAATTTGCCTGTCCACTACAATGTAAGCTAAGCTCGGAATAACATAACACATTGATATGATTGGAAAATGTAGAATGATGTAAATTGTTACGCGTTAGATTATTGCACTAAGGGGATCATATAGGTCTGGGAGTGTTACGTGCAGGCCTGGCCTCCACCCGCGGCGGACATGAACACATCGTATGTACTGAACGTTACGCTAACTTATCGAAACAAACTAATTTACATCGCGGGACGCGTGCACACGCATACAGTGAGACCACGCCCTCGCACCGAGCCATCTAGTGCGCTTCGCTTCTTACATTTTGTATAAGCATCAAGAAACAATGCGACTACCACAGCTCCGTGCATTAAAAATTGCAAACATTTCACACGCACCATCCCCAAATTGCAACACCTGTGTAGTATTTACACTTCTTAAAGTACTCTTAACCAATCTAAATCGAATAATATATTTTGCGATAGTGCCAACTGCGAGAAACTTTCCAAACTACGTCCGCGTTAAGTAAATTAACTTACTACAACGATGCATCGTGTAAAACGAATAGGAAACAATACAAAAGTACTTATATACTTTTTAACATTTAGTGTATGTTAACTCTTTATAACGCAGAACATAATTGTTTTCACAGATTTTTACTGCAGCCTTCGGGCCTCACTCCATTGTAATACAGTTGTATCCATATTTCAACAGAACAGTTAGGATACACAGTCAATGTATTTTAAAACAACACCGGTCAAAAAACTAATCAATTTTACATCAAGTCAAAATCAATAATTTTATTTGAAATTTCATAAACAATAATGCCGTTACGTCAAATCGCTCGTTTTTATTTAAAAGCTAGAAAATTAGGAAAATTAAGTATATCTTAAAAACAATTCATGAAAGTGTGATTTGGACATTTTATTGTATTGAAAAATCAAGATAACTTATTTATTTATGTCTAAGTAAAATACCCAACTGAATAAGGGTCAAGATAGATGTTAAAAATCTTGAAAATAAATAATTATTAATTTGTTATAAAGAGTTTACAATGTAACAAAAATCCCAGCGTCCCTAGTTTCCCTGCAAACATGTACCAACAAAATATAACTCAAGTTAATGAACTCCAAATGCAATGTCTTCTCCGATCCCAATAAAAAAATAATTTTGGATTTTACAACACTAGTATTAAATCCTTATTATAATATACGGATTATTACAAGTGATACAACTATAGTAATTTTGGATTTAGTAAAATAATGTTATTATAATAACACACAGTGCCAATGTTCCTGAACTTTGTACATATAATTGTATATAAAAAGGGATTAACATGACTTCTCAGCGTAACTGGATACGGCTCGGGTTACTACAAACTTACATTCATTAATGTACTTTCAAACTTAGAACATACAAAAGACCCGGTACATAAAGCTGTTGTCCGACAGTCGGCCGGAGCTCCAATGTACATACAATAACATAAGCCAAAATACGAAAAAACAACAAGTTAAATATAAACTTTATAATTTAAACCGCCGACGTTCGCGCCTCAGCTTTATGCCAATACAAATCCATACAATTATGTAACTGATTATGACAAAAAATAGTATGCAATTATCAAACTATAACTTATAAAATAGATAACTCTAGCGTATATAGTGGAAATATATCAGTTACGAGCTAACACCGAGCCGTATGCCTCATAACATAATCAACAGACGTGATCGTAACTACTAATACAGGCACAGTTAAAATAAAACGATCTTACAATCCTAGAGCTGTTTTACTTGGGTTATCCTTAGTCTAATGGGAATTATTCCTACAACATAAAATTACATAGGCCCACTCGGCTACGCCGGACAACGTGACGCATGTCAGCTTGTAGTGTTGTAGGGAGGGGGGCGGTGCCGGGCGGCGCCGGGGGCATTAGTCTAAGTATGTAAAGTGGTGCTTACTCGACTATGTATGTGTTGTGGCCGAACAGTCACCTGCTCACGATGATATGAGCTGTAAAAATAAAAGTCATATTACTACATTATCTCATTTGCATGACATTCTGCAAAACAAATATTTCAATCTATTTTAAAATCCTGTTAATTATGAGTGTACTGAATGGTTTTACTATCACCACGCCTAACTTAAAACAATGATAAGAAACCATGACATTGGGAATTAGCAAAACAATAAATAAAACAAATTACGAAAATATAGCAAACAAAACAAGCTGTTCAATGAAAAACCAAAATATATTAAACATCAAAAGTATGTAACAGTGTAATCAACAACAGAAATTAGGATTTGGAAAATTGATAAAATATTACATACATTTGGATGAATAAACTTTACATGCAAACAATAAATAAATAAGCAAAAATCTACCTTGTAAAGTAAAGCGGGTGTTTATCCATTCCACTTCATTCATATTATTTTTTATTATTCATAATATATTATTATTGTAATAATATATAGCTATGTCCTTTTATAATCTATAGGTATACTATGTAGACATCTACACTCCGCTAACTCCTATATCTTAAATACACTGTAACAAAGAAAAATAATAACAAATAAATAACAAAATTAAAATGCATTCGCAAAAAATGCTACGTAACAGTGCTTTTCAACCTTAAATTGCCATACTCAGACACAATAAATTATTACTTAAACCGCAACTTGGCAAAGATAGTGATAGCATCGAAAAAAATAATGTTATCATTAAAAATGTCTCTGGAATACGGCGTCACAAGGTTTTATACAATAAGGATAAAAGTTATTTTCTCTAAAGTTGTAATTTTAACATTAACCGAATCTGGTGTAACAATGAAAAAAAGAAAACAAAGAAATTGCATCTTACGGAAAGGTTGAAAAAAGCAGTTGTCGACATAATACTAAAACGCAAAAAAATAACGAAGCCAGTTTATTAGCCAGTCCACTAGTGGGACTGTGGTTAAAATATTGACACGAGTATGTATTCAGATTTTAGTGTACGAGTATAATATACCAATCAATCCAAGTTATTACAAAGATCTTTTCAAAGTGAATCGTAATGTTAGGTATTATCAGTTGTTGACGATGACATGAAATTTTAAAAAAAAAAACAGTCACAATACAACAACTAAGTTTACTCGAAATGAATAATTGCTAGAATTCTTGCTAGAAATAAAACTAATACTTATGTTACGATATTTACGATACAAATACACTTAAAATTATACTTGATGGCATGCTTAAATTAAACCTGTAATCGCGTCATATAACTGAAGAGATGAAACTGAATCTAGTGTTTAATATGAAACCAGAAGTTTTATTTTCAGTCATAATAGAGGTTACTAAAATAGTATCCCTTACTATAGTGCTTATAAGGTTCCTTATCCTTTGACTTACCGACTTGACTGTGGCCTTGATGAAGTCCTTCTTGTGCGCGAGGTCGAAGTCTGGGTAGTGGCTATAGACCTGCTTGCACACCGTCTTCATCGTAATCTGCTCCAGGTTAGCGCCCTCCAGGATCTGTTTCACGTACTTCTTGATCTCCTCATCCTAAGGATAACTTTTTGTTATTATAGTATAATTACTTTGATAGTGAAGTTTAGCTGTGTAGAAGTAATAAAAAAAAGTCACAATAAACTTTATTTAGGTTTATTTATTTATTTATTTATTTCACACTACTTGCACAATGTACAATGGCGGACTTAACGCCTTAGGCGTTCTCTGCCAGTCTACCTTAGGGTGGTGGAGAAATAGGAGTGGTAGGTGCATCTTCTTGATGAAAATAAGGAAAAAAAAACACATGCTACAAAATTATTGCTCATACATATACATATATCAATAAATATAAATATATGTATACCTATACATTATATAAATACAATAAATATGTTTTATATATATATATATATATATATATATATATATATATATATCACAGACTATACGTATACATAATAATATACAATACATAGGTACATATTATCATATTCCACGGAAAAAAAGTGTCGATAATAACCTATTGTGGAGAATCCGCCAATTTCTTCCGGATGTGATCTCGTAGTTTCAATTTGAAAGCGTTCTTACTATCTACCATCCTGACCTCCAAAGGTAGCTCATTCCAGAGAAGAATGGGTTTAACGAAAAAGGAAGAGTGCATAGTATCTGAACGGTGGGCAGGGCAGTGCAGAAGGCGATTATTAGAAGAACGGAGATTTTTGTTGTGTTGCGAGCAAACATACTGAAAGTGTGAAGTTAGATAGGAAGGTGAAGAGGGTGTATGGAGAATAGAAAAAAGAGTAGTTAATGCCCTCATCTCACGTCGCTGTCTTATCGGTAGCCATTTTAGTTGCGCTCGATACGCTGACACATGATCGTACTTGCGGAGATTAAAGACGAATCGAATGCAATTATTGAGAAGCCGGTCAATTTTATTGAGCAGATCTGCATTCAGGTCTAAGTAGCAAACATCACCATAGTCGATTATAGGGAAGATAAGAGTTTGCACAAGCGTCGCCTTTACACTGAACGGTAGCAAGTTTTTGAAGCGATAGAGGAACCGTAACGTATTTGTGACTTTGTGACTGACAGCTGCAACTTGTGCTTGCCAATTGAGTGAGGAGTCAAGGTGTAGGCCAAGATTCTTTACAGTGCAGCTGTACGGTATATTTGTACCATCAAAGACAACAGTTGGCAAGTCAAGAGCGTCAATTTTACCCACAATTCTTGAGCTACCAATAATTATGGCTTGACATTTGCCAGGATTAACTGTCACTCCAAACCTGTGAGACCAGTTCCTTACCAACTCCAAATCCTCGTTCATTTTTCTGAGAGTAACTTCCAGTTCGCTTACCTTAGTGTGACGATACAACTGCAAGTCATCGGCATAGAGATGATACGAACACTGAAGTTCAGAAGTAAGGAAATTTATAAATATAGAGAATAATAGAGGTGAAAGTATGCCGCCTTGAGGAACGCCAGCATCCAAAGTACACCATGCCGATGAACCTTCATCCACCTGAACTGACTGCTGGCGATCCCGAAGATAGGATGAAAACCAGTCTAATGACTTAGAAGAGACCATAATATGGGACAGGATAGACAAAAGGATATCGTGACAGACGGTATTGAACGCATTAGAGAAATCTATTAGCACCAACACAGTGACACTAGCGTCTTCCATAGCAGTTCTAATATCGCCAGTCACTTTAAGGAGGGCAGAGGAAGTGCTATGTCCTGGCCTAAATCCGGATTGCAGCGGACTCATGAGGTTGTTGCTATAAATAAATCGCGCAAACTGCTTATGAGCACAAGCCTCCAGCACTTTGGACAGAAATGGCAGGATAGAAATCGGACGAAAATGACTGGGAAGAGAAGGGCTGGAAATTTTGGGAAGAGGACGCACGTAGGCTTTCTTCCAAAGTGAGGGGAAAACTCCAGAGAAGAAAGAAAAATTTACAATATGGGTGACAGCAGGAAGGATTGGGACAAGGATAGAGACAATCATCTGACGGCTGATGTTATCACACCCCACCGCTTTAGATTTGATGGATAGGATAATTTTTTTGATCTCTTCCTCATCAACTGGCGTAAAATCAAAACATTTGATGTCGGGACGCGTTAGACCAGATAAAAAGTTTATAGTATCCTGCTTTACTAAATAGTCCAAATGAGAAAAAGTGGAGAAATGACCATTTAAAGCATCTAAACTAATTGTGTTAGGCAGGTCGAAATGTCGCGATTTGCCAATACCCAAAGATCCAAGGAACTTCCAGATATCAGCAGAAGACGATGACGATATATTATTGAGTATATGGCGGCGTTTAGCGTTACGGATCATCATATTACACCGATTCCTTGCAGTTTTAAACTGAGACCAGTTTTCATCAGTGCGCTCTTTTTTAAATTTCCGGAACGCACGGTCTCTTCTACGCATTGCTATTTTTATAAGTTCTGTCATCCACGGTGCAGGTGGCCGTTTCAATCTGACACTCTTAATTGGTGCATGACGATCATATAAAATGTTCACCATGTTATTCAAAATCTGAAGTTTCTCGTCCACAGCATCGGAGCTCATCAGTGGTGTCCAATCGATGCTCTGCGCATCCTTAAGCAGCCGATCAGCATCCATCCTTGCAAAGCAACGCCTGTGCAAAATCCTAGGCTTAGGCTTTGGAGGTTTAAGGATGTAGGAAAGGAAAATGAGGTCGTGATAAGAAAAACCGGGAACAGCATATTGACCGTGAGAGGAAATAAGGGAAGGGTTAGACGTCAGAATTAAATCTAGCCAGGAATCATTACCGATTGTAGATTGATGTGTAGCCTGAAGAGGTAGAACACGTAAGCTACATGATTCCAACACTTGCAAGAGCTTACGGGTACGAGGAGAGTTAGGAGCAAGGAGATTTGTATTGAAGTCTCCCATGATGATGTAATGTGCATACTCAGAACCCAGCGATTCTAAAACCGATTCCAAATCAGTGAAGTAGTCGAGAGAGGGGGGGCAATAAACAACACCAACGACAGCCTTGGCTCCTTTAACTGAAACCTCCAAAAAAAGAAATTCAGCGCTATGCAGTGGAGTGGACGATTTAGCCAGGATCTTATAAGGAATGTCTGATCGAAGGTATATTGCCACGCCACCCCCTCTTCTCCCAAGCCGATCATTCCGAATAAGAACGAAACCAGGAAGAGGGTACGAGGTGGACAAGAGATTTGGTTTGAGCCAGCTTTCAGAAATCAGGATGGCATGCACATTGCTGTTGGAGAAGGTCGCAATGAGTTCACTATAGTGACTAGGAACACTCTGTGCGTTAATGTGACACACGTTGAACACCTTATCACATTATATATATAGTTTAGTAGTGTGACATTCCACAAGTGAATTTGGGATACGGGAAGGATGCCTAATCCTTCCCTCCACCAAACCCAAAATCCATTTCCAGATCCATTTGTGCCGAAGCATGGTTCTTCCATACTTCAAAGGAAAGGAAGGGCTTCACCATGAAAAGGGAGAGAAAAGTTGAACCTCCTATTAGCTAGGAAACTTTTGTGT